AGAAAGGTACACAGGGACTCAGCTTCTTTTCTTATTTTAGATTTTATTTATTTAGTTTTAGAGAGAGGTGAGGGGAGAAAGAGAGTGAGAGAAACATTGATTGGTTGCCTCTCGAGCACACCCCAACCAGGGACAGCCTGCAACCCAGGCGCATGCCCTGACCGGGAATTGAACTGGCAACCTTTTGCTTTGCAGGTCAACGCTCAGCCAACTGAGCCACATCAGTCAAGACGGGACACAGCTTCTTACATAAACTTTCCATCAGCCTTTCCGTCTTTAAGCCCTTCCTGCACCTTGGCTGGCAAGTGGGTGGTGCCATGAAGTTTGGAGCCTCTTCAGAGTTCTGTGGCATAAACTGGCTTGCTTTCTGTTGGCTTTTCCGCACTGCAAGCCTACAGTGTGGCTTTGTTTGGTTGTTGAAGTTGGCATCCGTTCTTCCATCAGCTTCCCAGTTTCTAAAAGAGCTGTCATTTCTCATCTGTTCCATCTCCTCTTTTTCTCTTTGCCTTATGGATTTATGCTTTTTGTTTCTTTTCTGCCATTTTAGTTAGATTTTAGGAATGGTAATAAACATGAGTTCAATTTGGCAAGTTTAACTGGAAGTCCTCTTTTCCTTGTTCTTTATGTTTTATTGTTTGTCTGGTCTCAACGAGAGCGTGAGTTAATTTCAAGAAAACCACTGTTGTCATGTTATTTACATATTGGTATGGTACTTTTCTTTCTTTCTTTTTTTTTTAAAGATTTTATTTATTTATTTTTAGAGAGGGAAGGGAGGGAGACAGAGAGAGAGAGAGAGAGAAACATCAATGTGCAGTTGCTGGGGGTTATGGCCTGCAACCCAGGCACGTACCCTGGCTGGGAATCAAACCTGGGACACTTTGGTTCGCAGCCTGCGCTCAATCCACTGAGCTACGCCAGCCAGGGCTGGTATGGTACTTTTCAAATGGGAGTTCTAATGTCTGTGGTTGTTACCAGATGGCCTTGACTCGCATGCACAGGGAACCCTTGGGGGTACCTGAAAGACTTTTCAGGAACATCGGCAATTTCCAGGCCTTCACCTTCCATCAGTGCCCTCTCCTTACATTCAACTGAGAATACCTGCGGCCCAGGTATCACACTGGCTGTCCTTGCTCTCTCACTCTTTCACAATGTCTTTCTCAATCTTTACTATGTACACACACACACACACACAATCTTTCTATGGCACAATTTTTCCCTGTGTAAAAATCTGCAGGGCAGTATACAGAAATGAAATTGAGATGTTGCTTTGGGTCAACTTTTTTCAATTAAGGTGCCATAATCCAACGTCTGCCTCCCATCTTCTCTCTCTCTGTCTCTCCCCATCTCTCATCTATACATTTTTTTTTTCTGTCGAGAACACAGCCTGGAGCCCTGAGCAGTGCGGCTTGCTGGTGGGTGTCATCCCATAAAGCAAATGGCCACTGGTTCGATTCCTGTCAGGGCACATGCCTGGGTTGCGGGTTTAGTCACCAGTCATGTTGCGTGCAAGAGGCAACTGATTGATGTTTCTCTCTCCCTTTCTTCCTCTCTTCCTCTCTCTCTAAAAATAAATTAATTTTAAAAGAAAGAACACACCCTGGTGTCAGAAAATGAATATTTGCCCTATGTCTGAATTTACATATATTGTAGAGTGGGGGAAGGGAGGCAATAACAACAATTTTTAGTTGAAAACTTTCACTCTTTCATCTTTGGTCAAAGAAGTGTTGCTCCTGAGGAAGAGTCCCGTGATGGGAAAGCAAAGAAAGCAAAGATGAGAAATGTTGAAGGTGGTGGCACCTTATTTCTTCCAGCTAATGGCAAAACTCCACACCCTATCTACCTACCTGAGAACACTGTCATTCAAAATCCATAAAAAACAAACAAGAAAACCCCTTGGATTCTAAACACTATTCTCCAATTTAAAATCAGGCCAGATCCCTTGGACAAATGGTTGGTTCCAAAGATGGGGCAGGGAGGCAAGATGAATCTGGAATGTCTTGTCCCAGTAAGTAAGAAAATCCTAAAAAAGAAAAAAAAAGGATTTCTTGAAAGAACAAAAGAGCCAATCTGATGGAGTTCTCCCGAGAGCCAACGGGGGGACAATCTGAGCAACAGAATAAATAATGGTATTATTGGATATTAAGCCACATAAAATAAAAACATCCATGAGTCCATACTATAAAGAATTGATTAAATAAGTGGGGGAGACGAGACAGCTCTTCTGTATAAAATTCCAATCAGTGTAGAAGGAAATAGAAACTCACCACTGATAAAACATCACAGTAATACCTGTCATACTCATGGATACAGAGGACATTTTGACAGTTTTCCCAGGGAAGGGGGTTTGGGCTGGATGAAGTGAAGGGATTAAGAAGTACAAATTGGAGCTCTGGCTGGTGTAGCTCAGTGGATGAGCGCGGGCTGCGAACCAAAGCATCACATGTTCGATTCCCAGTCAGGGCACATGCCTGGGTTGCAGGCCACGGCCCCCAGCAACCACACATTGATGTTTCTCTCTCTCTCTCCCCCTCCCTTCCCTCTCTAAAAATAAATAAATAAAATCTTAAAAAAAAAAGTAGTACAAATTGGTAGTCACAAAATGTCACAGGGATGTACAGTACAGCATAGGGAATATAGTCAATAATACTGTACTAACTATGGATGGTGTCCTAACTGTGGATGGTACTAGACTTAATGAGAGGACTGCTTTGTAGGTTATGTAAGTGTCTAACCACTGGGTTGTACACCTGAAACTAATACAATGTTGAGTGTCAACTGTAACAGAAAAATAAAAAAATTATTTAAAAAATGAACAACAGCCTTGTCCCCCAAATGACTGTCAGAGACAACACCCACTGAAACTGGCAGGCATGAGGAGCAAGTCTGCACAGTCTCCAAGTACTGCCCCCAAGAGATCTACTAACTAAAAGGGAAAGACAGGAACTGTACAATGGGCGAGCCCCCTTGACCAAGTGATCAAGGTCAGTATCACCAATAATATATATGACATATTATCTTAGGAATTCTGTGATATAATGGACTAGGAACACTTCATTTTATAATTTCAGTTTGATCACAAGAAAATAACAGACAAACCAAAACTGAGAAACATTAGACAAAATAACTCATAAATACTGTTCGAAAGTGATTCGGGTCTGAAAGACAGAGGGAGGAGCTGTTACCAACAGTAGCAGACTTAGAAATAAGTAAATGCATTTCCTGAGTAATATTCTGGAACAGAAAAAGGACATTAGTGGGAAAACTGGTGAAATATGAATAAGGTTTTCTTAAAATTGTTTTACCACATTAATTTCTTGGTTCTGATCATTGTACCATGGTTACATAAGATGCAAATATTAGGGGAAGCTAGTAGAGGTACACATGAAAATTGTAATATTTTTACAACTTTTCTGTAAACCTACAAGCAACTCAAAATAAAAAGTGAAAATAAAACCATGAATATGAAGTACATCTTCTGTGCACTTACTTCTACACCCAGTGCTAACTTATGGCCTAATGCAGTATTTTGATTCCAGGACAAAATTTTCATTTTGTACAGTCATACCAACAAATGTTGGGGATGGAAGCCTAGGATCTAATGGCTCCTTTTAAAATGTTGCGGCTGAAAAAGAATACATTTCCTAGACTGACACTAAGTAAAACAGCAAACAGGTAACAGAAGCATAAGCCTGTGAGCACGAACTCTGAGTTTTATTTCATTGCAAGTGATGTAACTTATGTACACAATTTTTTCTCTTCCCCTTTAACATCTGAAATTGCCCTTAAAGAGACTGACTACACTGTAAAACGTGTTTAATTACTAATTTATTAAATTTTCCTGTCAATTAATAAATACATCCTGTATGTAGCCTTTGAAGGGTGTTTGGAGAGTTCACTGACGAGCACTGAAAGCAGATGGCTCTGTAAAACTTACAGGTAGTCGCAGGCTCCTTACACGTACAATGTATAGATTTCAATGTTGAAATAGTAGCTTTTTCTTCCAAAATATTTTTCTCCCACTTTCTCATAAAAGTGTAAAGAGGACATTTAGTTTTAAAAACCTGCATTGAACATAAATCAAGGTTTTTCTACAAATGTCTTTCCAAAAAGTTTAAAAGCATCACAGAATAATGTGTGACGTTAAAGAAAAGAATCTCCAGCCCTGGCTGGTGTAGCTCAGTGGATTGAGTGCAGGCTGCGAACCAAAGTGTCGCAGGTTCAATTCCCAGTCAGGGTACATGCCTGAGTTGCAGGCCATGACCCCCAGCAACCACACATTGATGTTTCTCTCTCTTTCTCCCTCCCTTCTCTAAAAATAAATAAAATCTTAAAAAAAAACAAACCCCACCTCAATATGAAAAAAAAAAAAAAGAAAGAAAAGAATCTCACCACAGCAATTTCCTTTTAAGCAATACAGTGTAGTATTTTTTAAACTATTGTGGTAGATTTCGAGTGTGTATGTGCTACGTTACCACACCAGCTTAATCCATGTCTTTCACATTAATGCAATAAACTACTGTATATGGCCAGTTACCACGTAAACTGTCCTACTGCAATTGCAAAAATGGTAAAAGGCCATCTTTATGAAAGCTTAAAAAATTTAATGAAAGGCAACCATCACCCTAATTTTCTGTAGAAATTATCTTTTTCCCTCCCACTTTCCTTTCCCCTTTGAATGGTACCTTTACAGCATATTAATGCACAAAGATATTTATATCACTTTTACTTGCTAGCCTTAAAAGACTGTTTTCTTTTCTGATACATCAAATGTATCAGAAGGCACCAAGATTAGATTCCTAAATTGTTTCAGAATTTTTGTTCCTTTTTCAGTTCCTCTAGAATGATGTTCCTCAGAAAAGTGCGACTCTCAGGACCAGAAGAAAATAAATGATACAACACAGTGACTTGAAACTTTTACCACTGAAAAGGTAGAAATATATTAACAGATTCCTTGACCTTTTCATTTAGGACAAGTCAAAATAACCTTCTGAACATAAACATAAAAATAGAGCACATTTATTAACAGTAGGAAAACTCCTAAGCTTATATAACAATGTATTAAACCTGACGTAACAACATACAGACGAAAGCATTAGGAATTCTCTGCCAGATAATCTGATGCATTATCCTAAAAATATGTTTCATACATAACACTAACATAACAAAGTACAGCATTTATTTCACAGGGAGAAAAGCTTTATCACAAAAAACAGATTTACTGGATTTCAGCTTTTGATTAAAGGTTAGAGATATATTTTAAAGATAAAAAAGAAAAGATTCACCCTTAAAATAAAAAAGTGTGTGTGTGTGTGTATATATATATATATATATATATAATCCATTTATTAATACTTTTATGCTTTTACAATGTAAAACATTTAGAAACTTTTGAGCTCTCAAAATTTTGGCCAGTTAACCTATTTGGCTTCGACATATCCTAAATTCCCTTTTGAGAATCGGAGGAAAGTTTTCTGTCCATCAGTCCAATACGGGTACAGAGATTCTACTTCATTTTCTTCTTCTTCGGGGGTTCCTCTTCGGAGCTGCTCTCGGTGCTGGTGGCACTGCTGCTGGAAGAGCTGGAATCCGAGTCTGAATCCGATGACGAGGACGAGCTTGTGGAGGAGGCTGAAGACGAGGACCCAGAGGAGCTTTCATCAGTGTCGCTGTCTTCGGAGGAAGAGGAGGACGAGGTAGATGTTTCTTCACTCTCTGATGAAGAATCACTGGCTGAACTGTCACTGCTGCTGCTACTGGAACTGGTTACGCTCTTAGACCTGTTAGAAAATCAACAGTTACGTGCATGGGAAGCTGACGTTTAATAGAATGTTCATGTCCTAGGAACATTGTGTACACATACATAGTGAAGCTCTGTTAGCATGTCGTTCCTACATCGGATGCTTTGGGCACTGCCTGACTATTGTAACCATAGACGCTCCCCTCCCTTAGCAAGGTCTTTTACTCCGGCAATTCGGCTCTCTTGGATGGAATCCAAGTTAAGTGTACCTAATACACTCCACAGCAAATAATGTTAGAATAAAGTTGCATTATAACAACTGGGTTTATTTAAACCTCATGAAGAGTGGTAAATGTTTCATAATGTTAACTACTTTACACAGATACAGCTGGTCAACAATTTCTTATGAGTTTAATAACATTTCCTATTCTAAGCTAGGAGGAATTATTTACTATTTCCAGGCAGAAGGACTCTGAAAAGTAAGAGAAAAAGGAGACATCTAGATTCTAAAGGCAATAAATTCCAATAGGTTAAGGGAAGAACACAGAAAATAGGATGATGTTTAATCACAAATTGCAAATAAGAAACTTTAGATCCAAATCTTGTAACTACTATTTTAAAATCACTCTTCCCACCTCCAACTAGTATTACATACTGACTATATGATACTCTTGAAGTCACACCTACCTTTTTTTCTTGGCCTTTCTTTCTACATTAGCTTCTTCAAGGCTGTTAAACACATGGAGGAGAGAAATTCCTGTTAGTAGAGTGATTATGCACAGCTCAGACCAACCTGTCACTCCCAATACTATTTTACATCGGAGAGACACTTTGTCTATTATAACATGGACTCAGAGTCCAGTATTCCTTGTCACAACCAAATGGAAAGTTTCCTGCTTATTGCAGGCTGTATGTGGTACAGAGAGTCAACCAGCGCTGATGTAAGACATGCCATTTACCACCTGTACCTCAGAAGCCAGGTAAGTTAGTAGTTAAGATGACTGAATGTGCCAACTGGATTCTTTTTCAGTTTTGAACTTAGGCTGGTATGGCTAAATCAACTACATCCTGAATAACAAGATGAAGTGAACCACAGCACAACAGGTATAATTTATAACTGGAGTTTCCCGAGTGTATTATAAATGGCCATTTCATATAAAAAGAGAAGCAATCTTTAATTTAACATAGCCATTTCTTTTTCCACATGTCCCCCACATTATTTACAAAGAATAAAGTCTGGTGACTTTTGAATGAAATATACAAATGGCTTGCTGTTGTATTCCTGCCAAACAGCATGCACACTAAATCAGGCTTTCGAATTACAAAATTTCTTCTATCATTATAGCACTATCGTGTAAATTTAACATTTCTACATTCTGGACTTCTCTATATTTCCAAGATAATGCCTCTAACCTTATTTCCTGAGTCTTCAAATATAAATATATATGTATGTAAAGTTGTTTTACACAATGGAATTACTGAACTGTCATCTTGGAGTTAAAATGAGTGGGAGAAGTACATTTACCAAACCACACCACAAGAATCCATGATCACTGAAATTCATATACTTCCATAGTTTTTATCGTTAAACCAAACATCAGTAATCTTTATGTAACAGAGCCGTATCTAAAATTCATGTAAGTCTATGTATTTTTAAGATCAAGACACTTCTGTAATACAACTAGAAAAGCACAAGTAAAAGTAAATGTTGCGATGAAATTATTTATAACTCTTATATTTTATTTTTTAGGGAAAAACTTTTTTCCTTACATTCCTAATAAAAAAAGTTGGAAAACTGTTTTCTCCTTATAGTATTTTAATTCTAAGTTTCAATATTTGTAAAGGGTTAAATCACTGGCATATTATATATTGCTATTTTAAGAAGAAAATTGTTATAGGACATTGATAATTGTATCCAATGAAAAATAAATGTCACAAAAATTTGATACCTACCATAATTCACTTAAAAAACACAAGAACAAGCTTATCTTTAACAGTTGGTACTTTTACACTGTCCTTTTTTTCCTTTTGAACTTCTGTTTGGTTTTCCCATAGAATGTATCCTAAATATTTTTATGCCTGAAAATTTTACTGATCACTTATGAAACTTCCTTGTAATAAAAACAGATATAACCTGAAATTATATCTTTTAATTATCTGTGATCATAAAGCTTTAAAAGTGTTTAAAATTTCTGAACTGAATTACCATTACTATAAAATTGATTAAAATAATGTAAAAATATAAATTTTAATAACTATCACATAAAATAATTTATTGAAATTACATCTCTTAATGACATGGATGGATTTTTTCCAGTTTATGTATCTATGAATCTTATTGCTAGACTATGACAAGGTTCAGCATCTATTCAAATCCTATAGTTAATTTTTATAGATTTAATCCTGATAAACCTTGTTAACCTAAATAGGTAGGTGGAAATAGAAAGAGTTTTATTGTAGTAATGCCAGTCAATTCTCTGACCTCTTCCCATGTAACATAATGATGTGTCATTAAAATATACTTATAAAAATTGACAACTCAATTAGGTCCTATTTCAATTTTGCTGGGAAAAAAATTTACAAAATAATTTACTCCCAATAATCAGGACCATTCATTTTCTCAGTACAAGTTCCAGTAGTACTTTGATAAATCTCTAGGTTTTTTTACATGGGGACAATACACCAAGAAAAGAGTAGAGACAGGTGAGAGGTATGCCTTTCTCTTGTGAAATTCAGGGTGTTCGGAACGTGGACATGGAGAACCAGGAGGGAAGTTCTCGTACAGATTTATTTTTGGAAAAAGTATATATACATATTGATAATCTAGATACTGATTACTGATTTATTCCTACATAATCCTTGAAGAGCCTCATGCCCACAAATTGGAAGGCTGCTGCCTTGAAAGTCCAACATTCACCACACCATCAGAGAGCTAATGATCCAGACGTTCACCACACCGTCAGAGAGCTAATGGATCCAGACGCTCAGCACACCGTCAGAGAGCTAATGGATCCAGACATTCACCACACCGTCAGAGAGCTAATGGGTCCAGCTGCTCACCACACCGTACGAGAGCTAATGGATCCAGATGCTCACCACAGGGTTAGAGAGCTAATGGATCCAGATGTTCTAATAAATCCAGATGTTCATCACACCATCAGAGAGGAAATGGATCCAGACGTTCACCACACCGTCAGAGAGGAAATGGATCCAGACATTCACCACACCGTCAGAGAGGAAATGGATCCAGACATTCACCACACCGTCAGAGAGCTAATGGATCCAGACGCTCACCACAGGGTCAGAGAGCTAATGGATCCAGACGTTCTAATAAATCCAGATGTTCATCACACCGTCAGAGAGCAAATGGATCCAGACGTTCATCACACCGTCAGAGATCCTGAAGATGCAGCTTCTAACCTGTAGCCCTATGCCAACCCAATCCCTTCCTATCTCGGTTTCTCTAGAATGTGTACACTTACTTACTTCATAGGGATTTTAAAGGCTCTATTCAAGGGACATCAAAGGGTAAATAACAAATTTCCACTTCTTTCCTACCCAGTTCTCCTTTTAGAAAGGAACTACTATTACCGGTTGTTTATGTCTTCAAAAAAAATCCCACTATTCCTTTTTAATTCTTTAACATAAATGATACCATATTATATATACTGTTCTTTACTTGGCCTACATACTTAATATAAGTATCTTGGATACTTATCTTGGTTACCTTTTCCTATCAGCTCACAAAATCTACCTCATAGTACTCTGTTGTCACATCATTGGTAGTTAAGACAGCAAAGCAAAATGATGAAGTGCATGTGTTCTGAAGAGACTGGTTGATTGAACACCTAACTTCTCCACTTACTAGCTATGTGACACTGAATGAGTTACTGAACCTGTCCATGCCTTAGTTTCCTCACCTGTAAAATGGGGATTAATAACAGTACTCACCTTTATGTGATAGCTCTGACACTGACACTTAAGTATACTACTACTTTTTAGGCCCTTGATAAATTCTATAAATATAAATTAAAATATTCCTTTGGATACCATGTATAAACTTACCTTTGTTGTAATAATCTGTTTTCTTTTTCTTTTAAAGCTTTCTTTAGTTCTGCTGTTCTTGAAGGCCTATGTAGGTATTTTCTTTTTCCTGTGCATTCGTAAGTCCAATGTCCAAATTCCAAGCATTTCTGACACCTTACATGTTGCTTATTTGCTTCACTACAGAACAAAAATCAGAATACAGGCCTTAAAATTTTGACTTGGCATAGTCTGCCCTGAAAATCAACAACAACAGAAAGTATAAAATGATGTTTAGTTTTAAATAAACAAACATCATTTCACACTTTAAATGGCTTATGTTAGATTTAATCACGAGGCAGCACAGGACCATGAGATTCAGACAGAATTGAGCTCAAACCTTTATTCCTCAGCTCCACCGCAGCAAGGCAGGCTGGGGAACTCAGACAGCCCTGAGGCTGAGAACTAGAAAAGACAGTCAAAACATTGAAAACCATCCGCCTGAGGCATCAGAGAGCTACCCAGAAGGTAAAGAATAACCAAGCTGAGATGTGAGAGAAGATGGAAACCCAGGAGATTGGCCCCGTAGTCCGTATCGAGCGTCAGGGCTCCGAGGGGCCGTCTCCGAGGAGAATGAACCAGCCACATACAGAGCGCAGCCCGGTTTCTAGACATCTAGAGACTGAGGCAAATCCCAGTTCCTGCAATTGGATTAAGATGCAGAAAGCAAAAATAAATACATACATACAATAAATGAAAGAATTGGAAAGGAAGAAATAAAATCGTCATTCCTCACTGGTGACATATTATGTACACAGCAAATCCGAAAGAATCTACGGATAAAATTTATGAAACAATTTGAATTCAGAAGTTTAGCAAGGCTTTGGACTAGGGTCGGCAAACTGTAAAGAGTCATGTAGTAAATATTTTAGGCTTTGCAGACCAAGAAGCAAGAGTGAGGATAATATGTAGACATATAATAGGAGAGAGAGCAAATTCCAGAAATGTTTTGTTAATAAAAATATTTCAGGTAGAAGAGGTTTACTAATGGGAAGAATGGAGTTCCTCTCTGAAGAATCACATTTCATCAACTGAATGTCAAAGTCAGTGTTCCCTATTATCAAATTGATCACATACACCAACGTACACACGTAGGTAACATTCTTAGCTTGTACGCATATGAGAACATGCAGCCGGCAGGATTCAGTCTGCCAGACACTGTGAAAGATACAAGGTCAATGTATGAAAATGTATTGTTTCTATATAATAAAAAGTTAAAATGAAATTTTAAAAGGTGATATTTATAATATCCTGAAAAATACCAAATACCTAGAAATAAATTGAAAAAAATACATGCAAGTCTTTTATGTAGAAAAGAAACAAACATTACCTATTCAGACAAAAAGCTAATAGAGGGACATACCTTGTTCACAGGTTGGAAGATTCAATACTGTAAAAATGTCCTTTCTCCCCAAACTGACCTACAGATTCAAAGTAATGCCAATAAAATCTCAACAGGTTTGTTTGTTGGTTGGAAAAGGCCTATAAGAGAAATATCTGAAAGCCTGCCAAAATGAGCTGATGCTAGTAAAAAATATCAAGAACACAAGAAACTGTTTCACTTTGTGTCTTAGTTATATTGAAAGGACAAAGAATAAAAAAAGGGATAGGTTTGCTACTCAGCATGCTAGGGAAACAGGCCACCAATATCACATTAATGGGCTAAAAGAATGAGCAGGACAATTTTATTTTGCTTCAGTTGGAACCCAGATACAATTATACATAGAATGAAAAGAGTACAACTGAAGTCCAAGGTATTTGAGGAGGAAGTAACACAGACCCTATGCATTCTGAATGTGTTTAAGTCACATGTCCGGGTGATTGCTCCTTGACATACCAGAGATTTTCCAGGTGAGGCTGCAGGGCCACTGCTGGTAACTTGAGGAACTCTGGCATACAGGGGTGGTGTTGAAAGACCGGAAGTAGGCAAATGCCGTTTTGATTTTAGAAGTGGGGAAAAGGGTAGATTCCACAAACTAGACCAGTGAACTTAACATCCATCCCAGCCAAAATTCTGGCTGGGTTTATTAAATAGATTCAGAAAGAAAAGCCAATGGCCACTAGGTATTGAAATTTTACAGACTAATGCCGTATCACCTTTTGGGTGACTGTATTTCAGTAGGGCATCCTGGAAAGTCACAGTATCCTTGTGAAAAAAACAGAACAATTAGACTTCTGACCAAGATGGAGGCATAGGTAGACACACTGCCTCCTCGCACAACCAAGAGAAGGACAACAAAAATTTAAAAACAAAAACCAACCAGAACTGACAGAAAATTGAACTGTATGGAAGCCCGACAACCAAGGAGTTAAAGAAGAAACATCCATCCAGACCAGTAGGAGAAGTGGAGACAGGCGCGCAGACACAGCTCACAGCAAGTTGGCAGCTGGCAGATCCAGCCAGGTGGCAGCTGGTGTAGCGGGTGGTCCCACATTCACATGCAGATAAACCAGGAGGAACAACTGGGGAGCGACATAGACCATGCAACCACGGTTCCAGCGCAGGGAAATAAAGCCTCAAAACACTGATTGAAAACACCTGTGGGGGTTGAGGCGGCAATGGGAAAAACTCCCAGCCTCACAAGATAGTTTGTTGGAGAGACCCACAGGGTCCCAGGATGCATGCAAGCCCACCCACCCGGGAATCAGCACCAGAAGGGTCTACTTGCTCGTGGGAAGGAAGGGAAGTGACTAAAATCCAGCAGAGAGCGGAGCAAGAGCCATTGTTCCCTCTCAGACCCCTCCCCCACATACAGCATCACAATCCAGCAATGTGGGTTGCCTCATCCTGGTGAATACCTAAGGCTCTGCCCCTCACTGAGTAACAGGCACATCAAGACCAAAAAGGCCTAAATGAAAGAACAGATCAAAGCTCCAGAAAAAATACAACTGAGTGACAGAGAGATAGCCAACCTATCAGATGCACAGTTCAAAACACTGGTAATCAGGATGCTCACAGGATTGGTTGAATTTGGTTGCAAATTAAATGAAAAAATGAAGGCTACGCTAAGTGAAATAAAGGAAAATGTACAGGGAACCAATTGTGATGGGAAGGAAACTGGGACTCAAATCAATGGAGTGGACCAGAAGGAAGAAAGAAACAACCAAACAGAAAAGAATGAAGAAACAAGAATGAGGAGAGGTTTAGGAACTCCAGGACATCTTTAAACGTTCCAACATCCGAATTATAGAGGTACCAGAAGGAGAAGAGCTACAAGTAGAAAAGTTATTTGAACAAATAATAAAGGAGAACTTCCCCAATCTAGCAAACGAAATAGACTTCCAGGAAATTCAGGAAGCTCAGAAGTCCCAAAGAAGTTGGGCCCAAGGAGGAACATACCAAGGCACATCTTAATTACATTACCCAAGATTAAAGATAAGGAGAGAATCCTAGAAGCAGCAAGAGATAAGGAGGCAGTTATCTACAAAGGAGTTCCCATCAAACTGTAAGCTGATTTCTCAAAAGAAACCTTCCAGGCAAGGAGGGGCTGGAAAGAAGTATCCAAGTTATGAAAGGTAAGGACCTACATCCAATATCGCTCTTTCCAGCAAAGCTTTCATTTAGAATGGAAGGGCAGACAAAGTGCTTCTCAGATAAGGTCATCATCACCAAGCCCTTATTATATGAAATGTTAAAGTGACTTATCTAAGAAAAAGATAAAGAATAAGAACAGTAAAATGCTAACAAACTCACAACTATTAACAACCAAACCTAAAAAAAACACAAAACACAAGAGAACAACTAGAACAGGGACAGAATCACAGAAATGGAGATCACATGAAGGGTTATCAGCAGGGGAGTGTGAGGGGGAGAGAGGAGGAAAAGGTAGAGAATAAGTAGCATAAATGGTAGGTAGAAAGTAGACAGGGGCAGGGTAAGAATAGTATGGGAAATGTAGAAGCCAAAGAACTAATATGTATGACCCATGGACATGAACTAAAGTGGGAGAATGTGGATGGGAGGGGGTGTGCAGGGTGAAGGGGAATAAAGGGGGGGATGGCATAACTGTAATAGCATAATCAATGAAATATATTAAAAAACAGAACAATTAAGCAGATCAGTTGAACGTCATGAGCAAAGAATACTGCTTTAACAGGCTGAAATAAATTATACATAGGTAGGTATCCAGGGATGGCCTGTAGGGCTTGGTCCTCAGTGTGGTCTTGTTCACCTTTGTTATATAGGACACAGATCTGCATATGTATCAACTCTACAGTTGACACAAAGCTGGGAGGGATATCTAATACAATGGGTGACCGAATCAGGATCCAAAAAGGTCTTGACAGGCTGGAACTCTGTGCTGGATCTAACAAGATGAAATTTAACAAGGGTAAAAGTAAATTTGATATTCAAGTTTAGAAAAATCAGTAGAAATACAAGACAGGGGAAGTCTGATCTGACTGCAATTCAAATGGAAGAAGCCGACTGAAATCAGTTTAGGTCATAAGCTGGGACGTTAGAAGGGAGCAGGGTTTAGCTTCATAAATATTATTTTCCTTTCAGCTCAGCATAAACTTTTTGATAGATTTGAAAAATGTATAAGGCCACTTTAGGAGGTGTATACATCCTTACCAGAGGTCTTCTGGCCAAAGCCAGATGACTACCCCGAAAAGGCAGCAGTGGAATCCAGCAAAAGGTTTAGCAGAAGAGATGATGTCACTAATGCCGAGATCCCATAATCTACTTACGTGAATATGAGTATATGTGATTAGAACTTAAAAAGTGAAAATAAGCCAATTTCCAACGATTTAAAGTTAACGCCCTGAAAGATCTGCCACATAGGGCATTCAGATTTAGGCTCTTTTTTTCCCCTTTATTTTTCTCTGATAGTCCGAAGACTTTAAAAGAAACAACAGTACTTCCTCACTTCTCTTGGCTAACTTAAAAGCAGTTTAAAACTTGTTTTTACAGAAATAATATATGTGGTTTATAAATAAAATTAAAACAGTTTGACATATATAAAATTAAAAGCAAAGGCCTCTTTTCTGCTTTCCCCCAAAAAATATTCCCCAAATTCTCTCAGCCCCCCATCCCAGCCTCCAAAGGCCCTCCTTCGACTGCCCGTGGACTCACGGTTCAGTACACCATGACAGCGTTTATCATACCATGTGTTTACTTCTCCAAAAGACCAGGAGTGCTCAAGGTCAAATTTGTCCTTTACTTCTGTGTAGGTGTGTACCAAATACAAGTATACTATAGAAACAGAACATCTATATAACTTTGATACTTCTGAAACAAGAAATAGCAATATCCTTTAGGTGCCAAAAGTCTTACTTCCCTCTCATATTCAGAGCGGACATTTTGCCAATCTAGCACTCATCACTTCCTCTGACCTACCCATCTAGCTTCCCACTGATTTGTAGAGATCCAATCAACTGTAGTGGGAAGAGCATGAGATCTAAGTCAATCCGAGCTTCAGAATGCCATAGGCTTGGTTCCAGGCTGGGCAATTAACCCAATTGAGACTAATGAGATGCCATCAACTGGAAGCTGAGAGGATACAAAGGACTCTGATTCTGCAATCATGCTGACACCAAAGTACCGAACCTATACACATATGGGACCAACCCCCTAAAAGAACAAGCCTGAGAGTGAGAGAGTGGACCCTAGTGATGTCATTTGGGATGCTTATTATTGTTATCACTGCATTCCTGATCTCACAACTGACTTCAAAGCCTTCTTCCTCCTCCAAGCACACCACATGCTCTGACTCTCTAAGTCTTTAACCCCTCTGCTCAAGGAACTCTTCTCAGCTGGCATGCGAGACAATCTGGTGGAGGGAAAACGAGAATGAACAGGGCTCTTGGAATAAAACAATATAAATATTAAAGAAATATAAACACATACATGTTAGCAGAATGTAAGCAATGTATTGTTGATGTGCAAATGACGGCCTGAAATGCTGAGAATGAAAAAGTAGACATTGGGTGTGCAGGTTGGTAGAAGAAAGGCGGCTTTCTGTGAAAGGGGTATCTGGGATGACTCCAGCGTTATCTGTCTACCGCCAATCTCTCCTGCCAGCTTTTTCACTCACCGGCCACAATGGCCACCTTTGAGTTCTTAAAAACTAACTTCGTTCCTATCCCACTGTCTGGGTGCTCTTTCCCCAAATCCGCGCATGACCGGCTCCTTTCTCACACTCCCAATTTGTGTTCAAACGTCACTTCTTCAGGAATAGTCCTGTCCAAACGACTTAACCGAGGCTTTTTCTCTCTCCACCACCTTAGTTCCTTCAAAGTTCTCATCACCACTGTATTTATTCATTAAAAATGTTTAGTTTATCGACTCTCCCTACTACCAGAATCTAAACTCCCCAAAAGCGGGTTTTGTCTGTTTAAATCTTTTTCTTCATACACAAATTCTGGCACCAAGTGGCAGATAATGGATATTATTAATGTTGTATATAAGAGTATAAGTGGCTCAAAGTGATTCGATAGCTTGGGAAAAGTCAGCATTTTACTCAGGCGTTCCTAGGGCAGGCGGCAGGAAGGAGGAGGAAACAAACGCCAGCAAGCCTCCCGGCTACTTATACAAGGCTGAAGGTTTACGTGGCGGCGAGAGTAAGGAACCGGCATCAGGGCTTCAGGCTTCCCCTGGCCACAAGTGGGCTGGCCGGCTCGCTGAGCAGAGGGGCACAAACCACATAGTGACTAACTCCTCTGCGTCCCCTTCTGGGAAACCAAACTCGAGGCTCCCTTTAGACCCCCCCCCCCCCCAGGTTCCGCCCCGGGCACCCGGTGCAGCCGTCTTCTACGAAATCGCAAGCCCGGGGACACCAAATTTATTGCCTGCGCCCAAGCCGGGAGCACGCAACGTATAAAAAAAAAAAAACGGCCACACTCTGCCGGTCCCCACTGAGGATCCGACACTCGCTGACGCGCTTCTCCCCGCCCCCCGCCGCTGGCCCGCCACCCGACCAGGGCCCTCACTTACGCTTGTCTCCTGGCTATGAGCCGATGCATGGGAGTCGCCATCTTAGCGTGGCTGAGGCCTGCCGCGCTGGGTTTTGGGAAAACTCCCTGCCTGGGCGGGAAGACGCAGGCGTGGGCGGAGCTAGTTTAGCCTCAGCTTCTCGGGGCTAGCGATGGCTGTAGTGTCTGGGGTGTGTCTCTAGTTTGCCGAAGGTTGAGGCGGGTGGTCTGTCTTGAACAGGGTTTTAAAGGATGAGGACTGACGTACAATTGACCCTTGAACAACACCAATTCCAACTGTGCGGGTGCATTTATACGCGGATTTTTTCCCCCGGATAAATAGTTTCCTTCCCTATCCATCAGCTTTGTATGCGCAGATTCAACCAACCTTGAATGGAGACAATCAGTTGAAAGACTGACTTTAGCAAATTATGAAGTGAAAATATATGTTAACTATTTCTATTTTTATGTATGTCATTTGGACATTATAAAGGCCAAGTGATACTGCATAAGTAGAGCTTCTTTGCCAATGGGTAAAAGATTACAAAAATATTATTTTAGGATATTTTAACTATTTTGTGTCAGATTTTGGAAATTTTATTGCTTTAAATCTACATTATTTGAAAGATATAACATATATCTGTCCAGAAGTTATCCAGCTATGTAATATGAAAAACAGAGACATTTACTAAAGAAGATACAAGATACAGGAAACATTCTACATAGGACAATGATGCCTCAGTCCCCTTCAGAGTAGGCACCTTGGGAACCTCACACATTTTTCCCAATTGCCGTCAGCTACCCCATCGTATTTTCTTCAATCTCATCGACAGTCTGAAATCTCCTTTCAAAGGTGATTTTAGTTTTTGGAAACGCCAGAAGTTGCAGGGCACCAAATCTGGGCTGTAGAGGGGCGGAGTCACCTGCGTGATTTGATATTTCACCAAAAAACTCTGTACAAGACGTGATATACCAGCGGGTAGGCGCATTGTCTGATGCAGCTGTCAGTCACCAGTTGCCCATAGCTGTGGCCTTTTGAATCATCTGAATAGTTTCCACATTGATTGTTCAAGCTTAATGCAAAATGTGATGTAGATACTTGCTCTACTCCCTCAGGCATTTTGAATGCTCACTCAATGGCATCTGCTACCCCAACTGACTAGTACAGGTCCAGTCCAGTCCAGTCTACTCTCCTTGACTGCCAGGTTACATCAATGTTGTGCAAAATGTTCTTGTTATAGTAACAATAGCTGGACTTTGACAGACTTTAAAATATTTTAGGAACTGAGGATAAAGCATTGAACAAAGAAACTTCTTGTGCACATGGAGCTTTCATCAGAAACTAAACAGAGGCAATGTCCAATGAACATCAATATACTAAAGAAAAATATTGTAACCCTGGCCGGTGTGGCTCAGTGGATGAAGTGCTGGCCTGTGAACCAAAAGGTCACTAGTTCGATTCCCAATCAGAGCATGTGCTTGAGTTGCTGTCCAGGTAACCAATCGATGTATCTCTTGCACATTGATGTTTCTTGCCCTGTTTTTCCCTCCCTTCTCCTCTCTCTAAAAAGAAATAAATAAGGTCTTCAAAAACAAAACAAGCCCTGGCTGGTATGGCTCAGTGGCTTGAGCACCGGCCTTTGAGCCAAAAGGTCACCAGTTTGATTGCCAGTCAGGGCACATACCTGCATTGTGGGGGCCAGGTCCCCAGTGGGGAATGCCTGAGAGGCAACCACACATTGATGTTTCTCTCCCTCTCTTTCTCCCTCCCTTCCTCTCTGTCTAAAAATAAATAAATAAAATCTTTAAAAACAAAACAAAAGTATTATAGTTACGTGTAAGGGGGTGAAAACTGATTTAGCATTGGTAGATCCAGGAGGTGATATCGTGTGACCTTTGAGCACATCTTGTTTGCAAAAAAAAAAAAAAAAGCAATCTTAGTATTTGCTCTTCTCTTCAGCTTTGTTTATTCCTCCATCTTTTTCCATATCAGCACATACAGATCTAATTCATTCTTTTTATGATTATGTTATATGGATTACCTGGTTATTCCACAATTTATCCAACCAGTATCCTATTGCTGAACAATTACATCGTTTATTACAAGATGGAATAAACAGATTTTTAAGCATGCACTGTGTCTCTGTATGATGACTTCCTAGAAGTAGAATCACTGGGTAAAAGGATATGAGCAGTTTGAATTTTGAAAGATATTATTATCTATTACCCTTTTAACAGATTGTACTCAGAACTGCTTCCTCACGAGACTTGAGAATGGTCAAACTTTTACTTTTGCCTATCGAATAAGCCAGTATGATATGTTATTGATGAGGTTAAATACCTTTCATAGTATCATTGAAGACTATCCTTCATGAATTGTCTGCTCAAATTCTTTGCCTATTTTTCTATTGGATTTTTATCTTTTTAATATTGACTTGTAAAACTTTTAATAATTTACATATAAACCCTTTGCTTTATATTTTACAAATATCATCCTATTTTGTTTGTTGTCTTTTAACTTTGTGATCATTTACCCTGTACAGAGACATTAAATTATTATATAGGCATTTTTAACAGTCTTTTTCTTTATGGGTTCCTAGATTTGGCTCATGCTTAGAATAGCCTTCTAGGTCCCAAGATTATTACAATATTTTATTTTACTGTAATTCTTTTCATTACAATTATGGTTATATTCTTAATCCTAATTTTGAGTTTTTGAAACACCATTTACTAAATAATCTATCACTTCTTTTTTTCTCCTGTGTATTTTTTTAATTTTATTTTAATCATTGTTCAAGTATAGTTTTCTGTCCTTTACTCCCATCCCAGCCCACCTACCCAATCTATCACTTCTTTACTGATTTGAAATGCCATTCTCCCATATACCATATGTACACATTTTGTTTGGTCATTGTATTTTCTTCCAAAGACCTATCTGCGCTGGGATTTCTGTCATTGTGTTAATTTCCATGGGGTAATTATAAGATATTTGATACCTGTTAAAGCAAATCTTTCCTAATTAGTCCTTTTTTTTCTTCAATCTTTAAGTTGCTCCTAGGCATTTACTTTCCTAGCTGAACTTTATTCTCAAGCTTTTAAGTTTCCCACAAAACAATATTAAGTTTTTCTGTTAGCTAATTTAAAAAAACTGGATTATAGCAAATGTGAAAAGGTAGGATAAGAATGAGATAATAACAAATCAAAAGGAGGAGGCAAATGATGATTTTTTTGTGATGATTTGGTTGCGCACCTGGAAAGCCTGCAAGAATTAATTAGAAGTTCTGACCAGTGTTGCTCAGTTGGGCAACATCCTGTAAAGCAAAAGGTCACTGGTTTGATTCCAGGTCAGGGCATATGCCTAGGTTTCGAGTTTGGTCCCCAGTCGGGGCATGTGCAAGAAGCAACCAATCGACCGCTCTCTCTCTCACATACATGTTTCTCTCCCTCTTTTTCTTCCTCTCTCCCCCTCTTCCTAGGACCAATAAATTTAAAAAAATAATAATTAATTAAAAGCTTCGACTTCCCCAACTTCTAGTGTATTTCACAGAAAACAAAACCTCCCAATAAAAGTATGTGGAAACCTGAAAAAAAAAAAAAAAGCTTCAGGAGACTTCAACATCGGGGACACACACACACACAGAGCAACTTGCTTTTTTAGTGGCAACACCAAGCTGGTGTAGCTGTTTCCCACTAAGGCCTATGGGCTTGAGGGACCCTCAGTTTTGTCCAGAGGGCCCCGGCTAAAATTCAAGTACTGTTTTGTAAACCTTAATGGACAGAAGCTGAAAAAAATGAAAAACTCCTGTGAAAGCTGAGAGTAATTTTTATCTGGCAGGAATGAACACTTTACTAATCTTTAAGAAGATTATTCTTCAATTCTAGGAAAATGTCTCCCAAGTGTCTTCCAGTTCTGTAAGATGCCTCAAAGAACTCACAGAGGGATGTATGTAAAAGGCACGCGTTGAAGGGAGAGTTGCATCTCTCTGGACTGGGCTGCTTTTCGTCAGGGGCTTGTTTCCCGCCCTGACCCTGACCTGTTTATGAGCACCCATGGTTGGAGAGCCGAGCACAGACCATGGGCTCACTTTGTGGGCGGGGAGACTGCAGTACGAAGGGCCCTGTGCTTAGTAAAGTCCCACACTTGGTTTAATGCTCTCCTGTTGCCGTTGAAATTCTTAATATCTTTTGAATGAGAAGCCCCATATTTGAATTTTGCACTGGGCCTTATATGTTAGGGAGCTGGTCCTGCTCCACAAATAAAGGTGTTTTCACAAGGCACTGACTCTGAGCTCAGTGAAAAC